GATTGTACTAGGTTAGCTGTGGTAAAAATACTCTGATTTATGCAGGCCTGAACCAAGGACCACCAGCCTCTCCATTTTCAAGTTCACAATCAGGTTGGACTGTATAATCCCATTGGCAATTCATCTGCTCCTCTGTGGCTCCATCATTGACTTCCAATGAGCTCTCTAGCTTTCTCTCTCTCTTTTTCGCTCTCTCTCTCCTCTGCTCTCTCTTTCCTCCCCCTCTCCTTCTACATGTGACCTGTGCCAGTGCCCTGGGGACTTGCTGTAAGAGGAGGTTATCATCGGGGAAGAGGCCTGGTAGGGTGGGGTGCTCAATCCGTGAGTGGATTGAGTATAGATTTTCAATTCTCTTTACATTTGCTTGGCTTTATTTGGAATATTCTCACATGGTATAGACAGAAGTAGAATTTAGTATGACCTGCCCTTTTTAAAAACAAAAATAGTTTAAAAATTAATAGAATGAAATGCAGCTTTTCTAGAAGAATGTTCCCAACAGGTGGTAATATTAATGCAGAAAAATTTCCCCCCCTTTTTTCTTTGATGGGAGGACTAATATAGATTTTGGACAAGTGGGAAGGAAAATAGAACCTAGGTTTTCATATCCTTTAATGAAACTGACTTTAACAAGTGGTTCTGCCCATTTAAAAACTGGATTGTATTTGTTATACTTGTGTTATTTTTCTGAGCAAAGCAAGTCCATGTCAAAGCCGCCGACACACACCTGCCCGCACACACGTGTCAGCCTTGAATAGGCAGCTTCGAGAGTATTTTTCATGTGACTTTGAGAGCAAGAAGCAGAGAGAGAGGTAAGAGGCTAATGGCTTTGAAAAGGCTTAACAGGTGTCACTTGGAGAGAACTGGATCAATATAGTTTTTCTGTCAAGCTCCCTGTGGACTTTTGTCATCTTTGTCTTTCTTTTCCATCTTACAAATACCAAGAGGCACAAGGTTTCCAAATACAGTATAGAGTGTTCTCCGAATGAGTGGTTGGGATGGACAGTGCAGGGGCAGGGATGCCGTGAGCCTCGTCTCTTCTTGAGGACGAGGATCAAAATGGTAATTGATTTTTCTTCCTGTGCCCAGATGCCTTCTGTATCCACAGACATGCCTGAGTTGAGACCCTTTGTGCCCTTGGTGTGCTAGGAACAAAATTCCCTTACCAAAGAGTAGAGCATTCTTGAACAAGGATGACAATAAAATACGTAAATTTAAAGATCAGCTAGTGCCTCCTTCCTCCCACTTTTTGAAAAAAAATTATTAAATACTCATATTTGAGGTACAGTGGAAAGAGTCTGCCCCATAGAAGTTGGATAATGTTACCTAAGCTCTGATCCTCAGATGCTCCCTGTTTGCAACACTGGGGTATAAAATCTTAGGATTGTTGGGAGAATTATAGGAAATGATTCATTCATTCAGTGATAACTACAGGTGTCCAGGTGCTACATAAATTGTCGGGAATGAGAAGATGAATAGCAGTGTATATTAAAACACTTGCCACAGTGCATGGCCCAAAAAGGTGAGTAGTAAATTTTCCTGAAAACCTTTCTGATGCGGAATTTAAATGTGCATGAACATAGAGACACTGACGCATTAAGCTTCTTTGTACCCATCACTCAGCTGCAACAGTTACCAGTTCATCTTGTGTGAATAGTGTCCCCCATCCCCTGTTGCTCTCCACAGGTTACTCTGACATCAATGTCAAACACAACATATTTTTATCCATAATATTTTAGTATATTTCTAAAAGATACAGATTTTTTTAAAGAGCATAATTGTGATATTATTAGCACATTGAAAACGTAACAATTCTTTTATGTTATCAAGCATTTAGTTGGTATTCAACTGTTGCTGATTTCCATATTTTGTTTTAAGCATTTGACTAGTTGGAGTCAGGATCTACACAAAGTCCACAGACTGAACCTACTTGATGTGTCACTTACTTGATCCATGTCACTTGTTTTGTATGGTTTCGCAGAGTCTAGATTTTGCTGATCGCATCCTCTAGTGTCATTGAATAGGTTTTCCTAAAATCTCTTTTTGAAGATCTAAAGACTGGATCAAATTCAGGCCTTTATTTGGTGGCTGTTGGGGTAGAATACTGCAGAATTGTGTGTATACTTCCATCAGCAGGCACATGATGTCTTCCCTGCTTTGTGCTATATCAGGCTTGATCAATGGGCAGGTACTCTGTTACTCTGATCTACCTGTAATGAAATTTCCTGTTAGCTTTTTATCCTGGTTTTAGAGGCCGTGGGGAACAAATGATAAAAAGGAATGTTTGCATTTGCAAGGCATCGTGGGCCTGTAAGGGAACCTCTCTGTGGTGTGTAAAGGTAGGAGTTCCTTCTTCCCTGTCCCCGTCACCTGCTGTGGGACCAACGCAGCCAAGGAAACCAACGCTGGGCTCTGGCCACTGTGACTTGGAGAAGCTCAGCTTGCCCTCTGAGCGGAAGTGTTTGATCTGATCCAGAAATGCGTTCCTTTTCTCTGTTAGGAAAGCCCCACAAAAAGAAACCTTTGGTTTCGGGATGTGTGTTGCTTTTATGGTTAGACTTTGAGGAATGAAGGGGCCTCCTAATGGACTTTTCCTTGGCATGGGATGAATGACAAGCAAGGAGGAGAGGCAGGAGGAGTGATGTCATGGATGAAAACTGTATTCTTTAGAGAAGTGACTGCAGGATGATTGGGGAATGGATCACATACCCACGAATTCTGAGACCTGCTCAGGCAGAGAGCATTGCGAAGGCAGATACTGACTCTCTGTTGCTGTGGCTTTTCAGGATAGCCAAGGAGATGAAAAGTAATCCACCAGGGAATAACATCCATTAGGGTCTTAATGCCAGCTGAGCTAAAACTAGCTTCTTGGAACATTTACTCCTGTGCTTGCCCTGAGCATAAGCTTGCTTTCAGGGAGTTGAAGTTCCATGAATATTTGGACCAAGCCATGAGCTCCGATTTAGGTTCTTCAAAGAAGATATCTAACTAAAAATAGAAAGCAGAGGCAGAAAGAAATCATGTCTCTTTGAAGAGGTCAGCGAATCTATTAAATGGTGTGTCAGGCCACTCTGTTGTCTCTGGTTTCATGGGGCACATTCAGCGTTGGTGTCCCGAGAGAAAATGGCCATGTCTTCTCTATGACCATGTGCTTCCTGCGGGGGTGGGTGACAGAAAGCTGTGGCCTCTGGCGAGTCCTTTTCAGAGGGGTAGCCACTTGTGTCTGTGACAACCTTAGTGTTCTATAAACACAAAGAGCAAGAAATTCCTTTTTCACATCATTCCTTCCTAATGGAGTCTCCAACTGCCCACTCATGCAGAGTAGAAAACACACCCTTCTTTAGCCTTCCAGCTCCCTTGTCCCTTCTTTCCAGTCAGTGACCAAGTACTGTCAATTCTGTAAACTTTATAAACATCCATTTAATTTGTCACTTCCTCTTTATAGACAACATTGCTGTCGGAGTTCAGGCCCTCTCACCTCATCCTACCTGTTCTATTGCCTCCTGTCTCCCTGGCCCCAGCCTCTCCCCACAGGAGTCTGCCACTCTGCTGACCCTGGGCGTCTTTCTAAGTCACAGTCACAAATACAACCATGTCCACTCACTGGTTAAGATTGTTTAGTGGTCTTGCCTACAGGCTCTTCAGACGGTTGTATAGCAGGTGCTTGAATAACATCATTTTGTTCCTTGTTATTTTGTTAAGGCTTTGATGAGATGCCAAAGGAACCTAACTCTTGTTTATATCAATTTAGCCTATGGTAACATTTGTTTTGTCCTATGTTGTTTCACTTAACGTCCTATGTTGTTTCACTTGACGTTTCAGATGTCCTCACTATGGACATTAAGTGAGGACTTTTATTCACGAGTGGCTTTTGTACACATTTTGGTGCCTGCTGTTGGGAGTTCCCTTTTCCCTTGTTGGTGAGCTTGTTTGACAGTCTCCTTCCTTTGGCTTACCTGCATCTTCTGTTCTGAGGAAGCATCATTGTATAGAATGATGGTCAAATTATATTGTTTTCTCTCTGAGGAATGGGTCTGGTACAATACATCCTGGTTTGTGTCAGGACTGAAAACAGGCTCTGTGTGCTGGGCCAGCATAGACTTGGGTGGCATAGATTAGGAGTGTGTGGCAGACAGTCTGTGAGGGGAGGGAAGAGGTGCGACAGGAGGTGTTTATGTCGGGAAACTGATAGTGCAATTAACTTAAAAAGGTTTCCCCAGCCAGTTTCTTCCTCTGTGGGTGTACATGAAACACCATCCTGTTCAGTGTAACGATATCTTTAAGATATAGGATGCTTACGGACAGGGGGTTAATTGTATCTCCTTGATTGTCCACATTCAAACATAAAAAGCAGGGCTTTCATTTACAGAAGTGAAACATAGGAACATCAGGGGAAACCTACATTTTCTGGGAAAGCTGAGCTGAGCCCCCAGACCTGTCTGGGTTGGGGGTGGGGTACAGAGCAGAGAGGAGAGCTGTTTTTTTTTTTTTGAGGGCACATGACCGAGCCCTGGAGACCAGGAGAGATTAGCTACAAGCTGGGCAGCGCTAGCCTGTCACATCTGCACTGAGTATTCCCAAATACCGGCTTCTCTTGGTTGAGACTGGAGATGCTATTGTGTAAGTGATCCAAAATGCCTCGCTTTTTGGGGTTGGGAAGTAAATTTTAGATGCTGAATAAATAGAGAAATAAGAATTAGTGCTTATAAAATTATATGGCCATCTTTTTCTCCCTAAAATATGGATTTATGAATCCTAGTCTTTGGAAAAAAACTGCTTTGTGTTGATTTTTTTTAAGTCAAAATGTGTAAATGCAGTATTCCTTTTTATTTCATTTCCCGCTTTTATTTTTAATGTAGCCCGTCATCCTGGAAAGGGCAAATTAAAAACAAGCTTGGCCAGGCTCTGTGGGTCAGTGCTAATGCCGTCTTGTGCTCCTTCCAGGTGCAGCGTGAACCTCCTCGTCTTCCTTCCCAGCCAGCTCTCCGCCTCCTGTGTCCACCATGGTGTTTGGTGAGTTTTTCCATCGCCCTGGACAAGATGAGGAACTCGTCAACTTGAATGTGGGGGGCTTTAAGCAGTCTGTCGACCAGAGCACCCTCCTGCGGTTTCCACATACCAGACTCGGGAAGCTGCTCACCTGCCACTCGGAAGAGGCCATTCTGGAGCTGTGCGATGACTACAGTGTGGCCGACAAAGAGTACTATTTTGATCGGAACCCCTCCTTGTTCAGATATGTTTTGAATTTTTATTACACGGGGAAGCTGCATGTCATGGAGGAGCTGTGTGTGTTCTCATTCTGCCAGGAGATCGAGTACTGGGGGATCAATGAGCTCTTCCTCGACTCCTGCTGCAGCAATCGCTACCAGGAACGCAAGGACGAGAACCACGAGAAGGACTGGGACCAGAAAAGCAACGATGTGAGTACCGACTCCTCCTTCGAAGAGTCCTCTCTGTTTGAGAAGGAGCTGGAGAAGTTTGACCAGCTGCGATTCGGCCAGCTCCGGAAGAAGATCTGGATTCGAATGGAAAATCCGGCTTACTGCCTGTCTGCTAAGCTCATCGCCATCTCTTCCTTGAGCGTGGTGCTGGCCTCCATTGTGGCCATGTGTGTCCACAGCATGTCGGAGTTCCAGAACAAGGATGGGGAGCTGGATGACCCTGTGCTCGAGGTGGTAGAGATCGTGTGCATTGCTTGGTTCACTGGTGAGCTTGCCATCCGGCTGGTGGCTGCTCCCTGTCAAAAGAAATTCTGGAAAAACCCTCTGAACATAATTGATTTTGTCTCCATTATTCCCTTCTATGCCACGTTGGCTGTAGACACCAAGGAGGAAGAGAGCGAGGACATTGAGAACATGGGCAAGGTGGTCCAGATCCTCCGGCTGATGAGGATTTTCCGGATTCTCAAGCTTGCCCGGCACTCAGTAGGACTTCGGTCTCTAGGTGCCACACTGAGGCACAGCTACCATGAAGTTGGGCTGTTGCTTCTCTTCCTGTCTGTGGGCATTTCCATCTTTTCTGTGCTCATCTACTCGGTGGAGAAAGATGACCACACATCCAGCCTCACCAGCATCCCCATCTGCTGGTGGTGGGCCACCATCAGCATGACGACTGTGGGCTATGGAGACACCCACCCGGTCACCTTGGCTGGGAAGCTTATCGCCAGCACATGCATCATCTGTGGCATCTTGGTGGTGGCCCTTCCCATCACCATTATCTTCAATAAGTTCTCCAAGTATTACCAGAAGCAGAAGGACATTGATGTGGACCAGTGCAGTGAGGACCCCCCAGAGAAGTGTCATGAGCTTCCTTACTTTAACATTAGGGATATTTATGCACAGCGGATGCACGCCTTCATTACCAGCCTATCTTCTGTGGGAATCGTGGTGGGTGACCCTGATTCCACAGATGCCTCGAGCATCGAAGACAACGAGGACACTTACAACACAGCATCCTTGGAGAATTGCACAGCCAAATAAGCAGGGATGTTTGTGCCTGTATCTTGTGTCCCTCCCCGATGATAGGTTAACACAGCTTTATAAACCTCAATGGGTTCGTTAAAATCATTTAATTCTCAGGGTGTACCTTTCAGCCATAGTTGGACATTTCATTGCTCTGAAATGATAGAATCCTCTTTATTTTTCTCAGTGAAGTGAATTAAATGCCTTGTTCTGAAATTTATTTTTACAAGAAGGAGTTGTGATATGATTTTGGAAAAAAAAAGATAAATGGTATTGGGTGGGATTTGTTGCTACGGTTTATGTATCATTCTGTTTGTCATTTACTCACATTGAGCTGTCAATTACTGACAAGTAGAATCAAAGGCCCAGCTGACTGAAGGCTACATGCATGTAAGATCCACAACATGAGACAGTGCATGTAAATCCATGTTCATATTTAGACATGGACATTAGGAGCCTAATAAACTGCCTAATTCAGTGTGGAGAATGTCTTTGTTGTATGTTTTTATGTCAAGTGAGTACATTTCAATATGTTCAAAATGGGCTTGGAAGGAAAATGCTCTTTTTGGAGCCTCAGAGTCTTTTCCGCGTGTTTTTGAGTTTTGGATCTATGTTACCAATGGGTTAGTTCTTTGGTTCAGGAGGCTTGGTGGTGATTGGCAGGCAGTGTCCGTCATAAAACACACTGTCCAGTGTAAACTGATTGAACACATACATGTTTAGGACATAGTCAAATTGGCATCTATGAATGAAACACGGGCCCCTACAGTTATGTTTCCAGTATATATTTTGCATTTTATAATTCCTACTCCTAAGATAAAATTCTGTCATCTGAAAATTATGCAGAGCAAACCTACACGCTCACAGGCAGAGATGCACATTCCATTAATGGAAGAAAAGAGAAATGTACAAACACACAAATGTGATTCATTATGGCCAAGGAGGGGAATTTAAGCCACTGAAAAAAGCTCCTCCAACACCTATAAAATGAGCCAACATTTTACGAATAGCCTTAGAGACAGTAATGTCTGCATCTTATGCAGAAACCCCTCATGACAGAAGAAGACAAACGTACTCATTTCCAGAGCAGTGACAGAGCAATTCTATCCCATGCGGAGAGCATTGAGCTAAAGCCTTCGTTTCAGAGATGTATGGTGCCACTAACTCCTGCCGTCAGGCGGGGCTCTTTCCCTGAAAGCATTCGAATGGAAGAGCCACGTGGGTTTTTATCCACCTTGCTATGCTTGCAGATGCATTTCATTGAAAGGACATTGTCTGTCGGTTCTCTGATGAAGGTAACTCTGACTCATCGCTCCTCTTAATGTTTCTGCTACTTCTGAGATTGATATAACTGAACAGGGTTTATGGTCACTTAAATCTGGAGGCTTATTACATGCGTGGGTGTCATTCTTTTGCCCATTAAAAAAAAAAACTTCCTTTTTCCCCAAATGCCTTGAATATTAGCAGAAATATGGTTTTGAAGCACAGCAATACAATATGGGATCTGTTTTTATTAAAGATTTCCCAGTTAGTAGTGAAGTAACTGGAGAATGCTTATGTATTGGAGTAACAGTAACAGTAACGGTAACAGTAATGGTAATAATAAAGTAATAGTCAAGGAGTAACAACAGCAATGACAATAATAATAAACTACTGCATAAGTGCTTTCCCTATGTAATCTCATTTATTCCTTACAATATTCCTGGCATCAAGGGTTTATGACTGTCTCCATTTTAAGATGAGGGGAGAGGGTCCCAGGAAAAGGGGTCTGCTTGTGTTCATGTGGTGAGTAACAGCATTGGGCTGGGAACTTAGAGCCCGTTTCCAGAGCCATGCTTCGAACTCTGCTGTGTTCAGGAAGGGAGTTAGGGACACATCAGGACAGGGATCATCTGAGGAGACAAAGAGCAACCGACTCTGTCAGACTCTGATTTTCCAGGATATGAGTCGAAGGAAAAATGCTGGCTTAGGTACCTTTCCTCTCCCGACACACAAGGCAGACTCGTTTGTTTATAGAGCAGAGCTTTCTAGAATGCCCTCGAAGCTGGAGCAGGCTCTGAGGTCCCTCCTTGACCCAGAGCGCAGATGTGGGGAGAGGGCTCTGGTTCTCGAAAAATTCAGAAATCTCTCAGCTCATGGGCTCTGAAGGTGCGCTTCCAAGCCCAGGGCCCTCTACTGTGAGTTCTTGTGGTTAGAGCTGTATAGGAGTTGTGTTTCTGCCTGTATTGCATATTCCTGGAGGTGGCTTGCGAGAGCACTCAGCGGTGTGTGGAGTCGTAGCTTCCTTCTGGACTTGGCCAACTGGACGTGTCAACTGGAACCTTCTTACTTCAGTCCCTAGCGTGATCTTCATAAGAATCCCTGCCATGTCATCAGGCCTCTAGTGACAAAAAGCTGCAGTGTCTCATTGTGTTATGCCTGTCTCAGCTTTCTTGAAATGCATGCAGCTCACCCATTTTGCTTCCCACTTGATGAGACGGTGGGCTCCTTCCTATGAGCATCAGTTTCCCAGGGCTGCTGTGACAAGTTATCATGAATGTGGTGGCTTACAACAACAGAAACATTCTCCTCACAGTCCTGGAGAGCAGATGTTTTTAACTGAGCTTCAGGCTAAAAATAAGACGGTGCAGGGCTAGTTCCTTTTAGAGGCCGGTGAGGGAGAGGGAGGGGAAAATCCATTGGGTGGCTGTTCTAGCTTCTGACAACTGCCTGCATTGCATAGCTTGTGGGCACATCATTCCAATGTGCCTTCTCTTCTACATCCCACTTCTCTCTTCTTTACTCTTATGAGGACATGTTATTGCCTTTAGGAGCCACTCAGATAATCCAGGGTGATATCCCCATATCAGGATCCCTAATTTAGTTACATCTCCAAAGTCCCTTTTGTCATATAAGGTAACATTTACAGGTTCCAGGGATTAGGACCTGGATATCTTCAGGGGCTGATACTCAGACCTACTATATCAAAGTTACACATGAAGAAACCTTCATTTCAGTGGTGTGTTAATATAAATACATCTTATTGGTTGGGAAAAGGGAACAGTGGACAAGAACATGCATTTTTGTGTCAGAAGAACTTGGGTTCTAATCCTATATAATCATGTTATCTCTGATCATAGACAACCTCTTTAACATCTATAAGCATCAGTCTTTTCATCTGTATATGGGTTGATATTCACCTTTTATAGGGATAGTGTAAGGATTAAATTGGCTACTCTAATCACATACCTGGTACAGTGTCTGGCGCATAGTATACACTCCATAGGTGGTCTTCCATATGTTATTATAATGCAAACTCTTTTTCGCTTATCTCAGGTGGTTGCCTTGCAGGACCAGGTATTTTTCTGTCAGATTGTACTACATTAATAAAATCAAACACAATTCAACTGTCAAGACATTTACAGGCATTAGCAGAAAGGTGATTGATGACATATCATTGTGTGAAAAGACACCAATGCTAATTTAAAATTAAGACGTATAAATCTAGAATAGAAGAATCACATTTGATGTTGAAACAACTTTTAAATGTATTATACATGTTTTGGGAAAACAGAAAATGCCCCTGAGATGCTGTAGTTTTGAAGATGGAAGAAAGCAGTGGAACTAGAGACAGAATACCTTTTGTTTGCCTTCCAGATCTGCTGTTTCTCTCTGAATGATCTTGGGGAAGCCACTTAAACTCTCAGCCCCAGTGTCTTGATATTTGAAAAGGAGGAAACAACGAGATCATGATTATGAGGTTGTAAAAATGCTTCAAGCAGACTACCAACGCTTGATAGAAAGACGATGTAACAAGGCCCTCCTTTCTTGATAAGGAAGACAAATAGAAGAAGCAATACATGTGTGTCTATGATGAACTTTATTGCATTATTTAAAAAGAAAATCAATGAACAGAACGTTTAGTTCCTGCAGCATTGTGTGGCTTTATTTGAACTCAGCCTTCCATCCGAATGAATCCTGCCAGCCTCCAACATGAGTATACATTTCATGGAAAAGTTCCACTGTGCTGGAGGCCAGATGCATGAAGCCCGCATCGAGCTCTTTCTTCAGTAGCAATTATCTAATGAAATTGTGCTGTGTCTGCAGCAGGGGGACTGGATTTATTCCCATTGGAGTAGGGAGCACGTGCCATGGTATTTATAAACTGCCAGAGATGTTTGTCAGCGTGCACAGTACACGTATTCATCCCCGCGTGCCGGCAAGAAATAGCCTCATTGTTTCTGAAGAGCTAATGATGGATTCAAAAATTCCGTCAGCAAATCTATGGCCACAAGGGATCCTCTCCCTGGATGATGATGACTTCAGCCTGAGCAGTTGTAATCGTGGACCGAATAGAGGAGTGTATGACCTGGGGTCAGACACTGGGCCATTCTCCTCTGGGCCAACTGCAGCAGATTCCAGAAGCAGAGGAAGAGTCCCAGTGTACATTCACTGGTGTCATAGAGAAGGTGACTCATGGAAGGTCACACACTCCCAGTTCTCATCTTCATCTCCCCCACTGCCTAGCAAGAGAAAGCTTTCAGAGCCACCTGAGACATGCATCACCCCTCCTGGTGGGGGTCTGTATAGGCCCTTCCAGGCTCTCAGGGAGCTTGGTTGGCTTTCTGGGGGTGGGGGTGACAGTGGGTCACATTTTCTATGCCCTTTGCCTCTGGGCCAACCTGATGGCCCAGCCAGGCCATGGAAGTGAGCTGGAAGCCTGCAGTAATAGATGCTCCTCTGGTCCCTTCCAGCTTCCGACGGGTCTGGGTGTGATCTGGCTCCTAACTCTCAGCTTTGACTTTTGTTCACCATCTGCCCTTGGGTCTTGGCAAATGATTTCTCTGGTCCTCACTCCAGTTTGCCCTCATAACTTTACTCTGTGTGTTTCCTCATTTCAGACCATTTTCAATGGGAGCTTATGGCAGCCAGCTGGCATTCAGCCCAACCTTTGGACACCCCTTCAGGGAGACCTGGTCATTTCAGGCTGCTGAGCCCGTGGCTTCAGCTGGCTGATGTAGGCCTGATCAGACATCATTCCAGATTTCATAGTGGGAATTATTAAGTAACACTGGGAGCCTGGAGTCAAACCTAATCTGTGGTATGGTTCATCCCGGGATTTTAGATGGACCACTCTCCCTTGCCTGTTCCGACACCTCCAGGATGACTGCCCCTTTTTCTAACCAGCCAGCCCCAGGGGCTCTGGGTGGTTGTGTCTAAGGGCCTTTGTAGAGTTGGATGGTTGGTTGTGGCTGCTTCCCAAGTGATAGGAAAAGATCCTTGATCTTTATTCTGGGTGACTGCCCGCAAGGACTCAGCTTATTTATTATGACTGCCGATGTCTAATTTCATTTGTTCAATACAAACTTATTAAAGGCTCCA